TTAAGGTACCAAGTAATTCTAGTAGCAACACTGCGGAGCTTCTTCTAAGTGGCTTTTTTGTGCATATGCACATGCTCTGAATTGATTTTGAGGCTGCTAAGGTGGGCATGTGCAGGCAAAGAAATCCCAGCGGTTTGTGCAGTGGTTTTTTTTTGTTATTGTTGTTGGTTTTGTTTTGGTTTTTTTACCATGCAGCCTTTATAAACCATATTTGGGAATAATGATTTCAAATTTCACATACTATACACTGCAATCTTAGTTCTACGTTCTTCATTTCTAACAGTCAGGTGGTTAAATTTCTACTCTGCTTCAGAAGTGCATTCTGGTTGTTACTAATATGATATGGAGAACAGGATCAAACCAAGTCTTTAAAAGCATTAGCCCCCTCAGATAATCTGGTAAACCTATTCCTAAACTCTCAGCCAGATGAAGCCAGGAGCCAGACAATCAAATTATTGTTAATGCTTTTCCAAATGAGTACATTGTGTCAGGTTCTTAAATCCTTCCTTGGACACCTCAGTAAAAAGAGACTGAAAGCGTAGCTGCCCTCCCGCCTGGCTCTGAAAACATTAAATCCAAGATTGAGATGGAGAGACATGGAGTGGCGCTGATTAGATGGAGCACAGTACCAGGCGTCTGGGCTGCACAGCTACTAAAGAAGGGTGGTGAGACCATGGGACATGGTACCTACCACGCGAAGGTGTTGGTCCAGACCTCCTTTAGCAAGGGGATCACGCTGCTTGCTTGCGGCATAGTTGAGCACTTGGTCCCAGCATCTCCTTTCTCAGCAAAACAAATGGCAGAACCTTCAAAAATGGGACACTGAAATGAGTATGTATGTGTCACCTTGGGAATCCACTTTGCTTTAGGCTGTTTGACCTGCAGTATCAAACTCCACACACTTTGGGCTCTGGAGTCTTGTGTTTTGGGGGCATTGTTCAGTTCTTTGGCATCACAAAGCCAGCGGGAAAGGAATAACTCTGCTTCCACCAAGCATTCAAAGCCTGTGTGATAAAAAAGCGATGTGTGAGGGGCTGCTGACAAGCATCTGGGCTGACAGAGGTGACCCTCTGCTGCTGACTTAACAGTCGACATTCTGCAGACTGAAAGGAGATGGCCAGTTCTCTGGGGAAGGAGGAGTACAAAACATGACCAGAGATGAAAAGGAGCTTCAGAAGCGCCTTAAGGCCCAGCTGAGATCTTGTGAAATCCCTTTGTGCCAGGCTGTCTGCAAAATGCACAGTGCAGGAGAGCCTCACACAGAGAAGGCAGGCGGAATGGGAGGGGAAAAGCAGGAAAAAGAGAAGTTTCCCCCCCCCTCACCTCACAGGCAATCAGTGTCATGAGCGGAAACTGAATGTTAGGTCTTAGTCCCTGCTTTGTTACCTGTTTTATCATGACCTGCACGGGCTGATGCTTGTTTCAAGATCCTGTATTAGAAGGGTGCAAAAAGTCCACTACAGGTGTCGTTTTTGTTGTGAAAATATCAGCAGTTCAGTTAACCAGAAATGGTGGCCTTGCTGCATGCTTCAGGGGTGCAGCACCCCCCCCTCTCCTGGAAAAAGCGCCTTTCGGAAAGATAGCTTAACAACATGCCTGCCCGTCTGCAAAGCAGCTCATGTCAGCCAAGTGCCAAGCGAGGAGATGAGGTAGAACCACAGCTTGAGAAGAGTTATGCCCATCCTTGTGGCCCCTCAAAAATACCGGCCCCTTATATGGCAGGAAATTCAGTGCGAGTTGAAGCTGTCAGAGATGATTGAGGTCAGGGCCGCGTGGCCGGCGGGCTACTGCCCCTGCCACAGCTCCGGGAAGCTGCTGTGCCAGCAGCTCGTGCCCATGTAATGTGAATCAATAAATTTCACCATAGGACTGACTGCATGTCCCCATGTGCTGGGGCTCCCCATCTCCAGTGCTGGAGACTGACATGAGGTACATATAACTGCATTGAAAGGCAAGATGTGCCTTTTGTCCAGTAATTAATGTTTCCCTTCTATGTGCACTTCTATGTGGAACAGGCTGAATTACTTCACATTGAGCCAGAACATCCAAACCCATTGATGACATTTCAGGCAAGTGCAGCACTTGTCACATTGATGGCAAAATTTCCACTGCTTTTGTTCATCTTCCTTTTAGAGCTTAGGTTATCAGTGGTAATTCTACCCCTGATTATTTTTGGTAGAGTAGCTCTCACTCACCTTGTATGCAAGTAAAATGTTTGTTGTAGACATGGTGCTGCAGTCTAATCCTAGACGCATGATTTAATACAGTGCGGAAAGGGCCAGTCGCCTTCAGGGAAGCCCTGCTAGCTTATGTCGGCAAAGTATTTGGCTCTGCAAAGACTGTTGTTTATCAAGGCATTGAAATTCCATAAGATCAGCTTAGATTGAAAAAAAAATAAATATTTTTTTGTAAGCATTTTCCTGGAATTGGTTCAGATATTCAAGTGTTCATTGGTCAGTAATAAAATTCAAATCATTTAAATGTCTGCAGTGAATCAAAAGCTTTTTTTCAGAGGCAGCAGCTCAAATGTCATCATTTTAAATAACATTATAAATATACCCACAGTAATGACTAAAACACCAGTTCCTTATATACACAGAAATTAGACATGATTATCAGTATTACTCTTTATTGCTTTTGAATTGAAATAAAATTAGAAATTCATTAATATATGCTATTGCAGCTCACTGATTCATAGATTTTACGTCTAAAAGGGGATACTGTATCAGTCTGTCTCATTTGTTGTACGGCAGTTTATACAATTACCTTAAAGTAGTCTGTTCAAATTAGTGTATCTTACACTTGGAATTTAGGATCTGTGTGTTCCGTGGTCTTCACCTGGCGGTTTTTAGTAAGCCCCTTACGGTCAGCCAATAATTTGTCACTCTCCACATTCTGACTAGCTTATACCAAAATTTCTGCTTGCTCTACTGACTCCACCAAGGTGGTAGTTCCTTGCAGACCTTCCATCTAAACTCAGAGGCAGGTGTACTTCTCTGACCACAATACAATCTTGTTCAAGTCTAACAACATTTTTTTTTCTTTAGATGCTGACTTGTTTTCAATCAATGGCAAGACACTAACAGATTTCAGCATAGCCAAAATTTAATCCTTATTTGTATTAGGTGACCACTATTATTATACACCTGCATCCCCACAGTCAGGGCTTTCCGCTAACAAGGCCAGTGAAGGCATTCAAAGGCTCCATGACTGCATCAACCAGTAACAGGGACTTCCATCTCAGACCTTAGCAACACAGAAGCTTGTCTTGTCACATGGATGCAAAGCATCTTAGTTATGAGTTGGGCTTAGCTTCTTTAGTCAGAACAACTGGCTAAAGGATCATAAATAAATTAGACTAGCTCTTGGTATTGCAAGTATTTTGTCATTGCAAGTGCAAATGTTACCACTGAGCTCAGACCTGTTTACGAGTTCAGCCCTTGCTAATTCGCTGTTTCCTTCTCTTGTGTCTTTTCTGTATGTCTATGAGCAGGACACGTCTCATGTACGCAGCCTTGATTCTCCAGAACTCAAGCACATAAACATCTTGATGTAGCATGGATTATTCCATCAACAGCATCCAGGCAACTCATACATGTGAAGATGGGCATATCTGTGAATATTGTCAGGAGAGGAAAATTCTGGAAATTGCCTTCCTTTGGGGGTGCCCCGCAGTCTCATTTTTAATTCTTGCAACAACTTATTACTTAGTTTCTCTGTTACTTTGTAGAGCTTCTTGTCATGTGCTGCTGGACAAGATGTGGTGACCACTAAGTTACAGTACAACCAAAGAAAAGAGACCTGGTCTCTTCCCACCCTGCCTCCCGGAGAGGGTATTAGTCGTGTGGCCACTTGTCTCGTGGAAGGTTTTTTTCACTTAATTAAATTTCCTTAGTGTCACAAACCTATATGATTTTTGTAATGGTGATCATAGTTTCCCTGAGGTTTTACCATGTAGAAATCTATTCAGAACTTACTCTGTGTCTCCACAGGAAAGAGCTGTCTGCAGAAATCTGTGGTGCCCTTTTAACACTAATCCTAGGCAGCCCAGGGAAATTTAGGGAGACTCTCAGGATGGGAAAGTGCTGCTAGTTGTATTAAATCCAATGAAAAAGTCATACAAGGAAGAACAAAGTTTAAGCAAGGTTTGGGGAAGCCCTTTTAGGGAAAATTTGTTCTTTTACATAATCCTTGTTTTTACCATTAAGGCTACTTTGGTTTTGCTGCAGACTTGTGTTGTGAAAATTACATGTCAGGAAAGAATGAGAAAAAGTAAAATGATCCAAGTGCTGAATTAGTGCCTTTATGGTTATAATTTAATTTATTTCAGCTGAGTTTCCCTGGAAGACCTGCAAGGAAAGCTCAGCCCCATTAAATAACAAGGAGTCCATAGTACTAAATACAAGCGGGTACGAGATCCTCTCCATATTTGCAAGCAACTCCTAAATTTTGCTGATGACCGCCTGGCATTTTGTTAGTCAATATTTCTAAAATAGGTGACATCCGACAGAATTTTGTAGATACATGCTAAGGGTGCATACGTACACACACATATGTAACATACATATATATACACACACATATACACATGCATACCTATACATACGGGCATATGTGGACACTTTTAAACATCTGTCTCAGTAGATAACAGTGGAACTTGCTGCATTCATTCCTGATTCCTTTGGAGCTCTGGAATTTCAGTATCTGACTTCTTCTAATAGGGGATCTCTAGATGTGTTCTTTCAAATGCCAGTTTAAACAAAAAGAAAAAATAAAGCAGCAGCAATACAGCACATCACAATAGCAGGTTAAATATAGACATGGATTACAGAGCCATTGTTTTCACCCCTGCTAAATAAGACAGTACTCTTAATATGGAACGCCACTTGACCTTTCGCGTCTCGTCAGTCTGTGACGGTATTTAACTGATGCAGGGAGGAAACATTTCCCCCTGGAACTGTCCCCTGTTGATATGACGATCACTACCGCTGGGTCACACCATGCACAGGAGGCAGAAACCCAGCGCTCCAGAACACAAGAGGGATCTTGCAGCTCATGGAGGAGCTCTGTCCATGTCCCACAATGACTCGCGCTCTTTTTTCAACTTCTCTCAGCTTGTGCTCTCTGCTGGCCACCTCAAAACACCACCAGTGCTCAAACATTCAAAAATCACTTACTTTGAAGTGGAAATTCTTGATGTGCAAAGCAAGAAGCAGATCTGCATTGTGGACAAGGTGAGTGTATTATTCCAGCACAGTGGGGTTGTGCCTGGTTCACACCGTGCCACGTCAGGGACTCTCTTTTCACTCTGCTGCAGTCTTACTCTGTAATAGAAACACTTTCATTCTTTTCTCTGGTTGATACTCAGAACTTCTCGTTGGTCACAACCCTTGGCTGTTTTTCTCCAGGATTTTTACAAAAAATCCAACACCGGTTTCTTTTAGACCTCCTGGCTGCTCTGTGGACTCAAGCTATGTCCTTAGGCTAGCTCTTGACACTCAGACTACAGTGTTTATTTCAGAGCATGATATTTAAACATCTACTTCAGAATGGATGTTCAGTTTTAATATGTTTGTAAAGCTTGGCATATCTGCAATGCTGCGGGTTCTTCTCAGTATCTAAACGTACTTGGCTGCACCATACTTACCAAATCAGGGAGGAACCTGGCAATGTTTAAAAATTTTTATTTTTAAACAAGGGGTCTCAGCTAAGAGAATTGGGGTTTTTTGGGTTTTTTTGTTTGTTCTATTTTTTTAATAATGTGAATCAAAAAATATACAGTCAAATTGTATAAGTAGGACTGGGTAGGAAGGAAGTTTACAACACAGTGAACAACAGCTGAAAAAATGCTTCATAAATATTTTCATTGCAGTTTTTGTGATTCATTGTCCCTCAGCAGAAGAGCTGGTCTCTTGCATGACATGAAAATGGGAATCCTAATCTATTTAGACTACAGGATTTTTCAGTAACATAGTAGAGTTTTGAGACTTACTGTTTTGCTAGAAGAAAAAAATAAAAATAAAATATTCCCTTATCCTCACTGGCAACAGCTGGAAACAGTGGATAAGTTTGCTTCAAATGTTTAATTTAATGCCTTTGAAATATGCAGGGTGGAATACTATCAGATTTCTTGTGTTCTTGATCATTTAGAGGGTGGTTTTGCAATTTGTAAGCCTAGTTAAAGGTAAATGTCTCATTTGTTCATTCTTAATGGGGTAAAATATTTTTTGAGATTTTTTGTAATCTAGCCAAAGGGGAAACATGTACAAAATGGTCAAACAAATATGACGACTGTTAATATCAGTTCTAGCGATAATGTTTGCATTATTTTATTTACTGATATTTACAAAATTATTAAAAAGGATTATCTAAATACTATACTGAATAAGGTTTTGAACCAAAAAAAAAGACTCTGTTCCTTATGTTAAGCTTTCCTATAGTGTCATTAAAAGAAATATATTAACAGAAACAGAATTAGGCCAAGAGCCACTTTTCAAGAATCCTTCCATGATGCACGGAAGAATGGTAGTCTGCTGGGTCAACAGCAGACCTGCATTTTAATCTTTATTCTGAACTTTGATGAGCCTGAATATTTTCTACACCTTCTCCAAACCACGGACTCTGCCCCTGTAACAGTGGAAAGAGAGTTACGAGCGGTGACTGCAAAGTACTCTCTCTACAGAGGTAGAACATGCACAGAAGAGCAATAGCAACTGTAAACTGAAAGCATCTGCTCAGGAATCTATGTTCAATTTACATGGCAAATGGCCAGCAGCAAGGACTTTTTTGTTTGTTTGTTTGTTTGTTTGTTTGTTTTTGGTTAGCTACTAAGGGATTGGTGCAAGTAGAGTGCAAGGCTGAGATTAAGAATTTGGATTTTGAATGCACATTCACATGGCTAAATCCCTTAATTTGCTGTGACAATCCCTTCCTAAGGTACCCCTGCAAGTACAGAAATTGAGTTCCTTACTTCCATGAACACTTGTTAGTATTGGTGAACCTCATTTCAGGTGGTTATTAGAGTAAACAAGAGACCGTTTTGCTGGATTATGCATAATCTTCTGCTTAATTAAATATAACATTGATACAGATCCAGCATGACACTTGTAATGCCTGCTTTGTGTTTGTAAAATAATTACAATTAGCTTAATTTCTCAGGTTGCGTGTAATTATTACTTGTCAGGATTTATAATAGGAGAGAATAGGAACCACAGATTTTAAAATGTATGTATTTGCACTCTTACTGCATCTTGTTAGTAGTTCAGACTATCATCATTTAGCAAACACATTTGTAATATTCTCAGATTAACAAATCTAAAGGGACAAACTGTATTATAATGGCAGAGAGAAGGCCCCTTTCTTTCTCCACCTAATGGAAACTCAGGCGGGGTGATTAGATGATTAGTGCTGTGTGGTTAAATACATCATTAGCTCCTGTGAGACTCTTGCATATGAATCCTATTCAGGTTAGTGGGAGCTCTGTGAAGTCTGCAAAATGGTGATACCTCTAACTAGTTTTGGTATTTAGAATGTTTTGTGCTCAATGCAGTGTCAGGAATTTAGAAGGGTGTGTTCAGCTGTGTGATCTCGAGCGATCAGTTAACCTCAGTAGGCTTTGGATCCAGCATAAGTAACTGTGAATTAATTCTCCATCTGTAAAATGAAAATTACATTATCTCCTTTGGCTTTCTTACCCACTTTACGCTTTAGGGAAGAATCAGTCACTTAATACAAGTGAGCTGAGTGGTTACTACGAGGTCCCGATCATCTTTAAGATTGGCTTAAAGGAACAGAATAAATACATATTTGCCTGGTTTTTAAGCCTGTAAGATACATACAGGCTTTTCCACAGTCACAGAAGGCAGAAAAAAATATTGAAAAAAAGTACGAGAGGAAAAACCCTGGACATTTTGTCCCATATTCATCCCCTCCAGGAGCTGGGTCTTGAAGAAAAATACCTAATCTTGCAAAACTTGAAATACATTCACAAGAGTCAGCAACACTGGAATTTCACTTTACACATGTGTACTTTGAACACAAAATTCTTTACAGGAGTATCGTTTCTTTTCTTTAATATTACCAACCTGCTCTGGGAACTTTCTTTGCTATGGACATGGCATTTTTCAAGTAGTTTGGTGCACATGTGAGCTTTTCCAATGACTTACTTAAAAGAATTTAAAAGAGAAATAATAACAGTGTGATTTGCTCTTGATACAGAAATTAATTCTGAGGTGAGATGTCATGGAGAAGAGGCTTCAGATTTTGGGGATGGGGAGAGAAGAGAGGAAACCACAAACCTGTCTCAATTTTTTTTTTCCCAGTTATTCTACAAGATGTCCCCAAACTACTTCTGGCAGGGCAGCAGGCACTGGCAATTTATAGACAAAAGGGGGCTACCTTTAACCATTGGAAGAAGGTTTCAAAAAGGAGTTAGTAGGGACAGCTGATTTAAACCTAGGCTATGACACTGTCCATCGGTCCTTAAGAGCAGTATATATAAATGCTCAGAGGAGGTACCCTGGGACTGAACTCATGTGAGCGAAGGTATCCGCACTGTGATGTGGTGGCAGTGGAGGGGGACAAACGGCGCTGAGGTTTCGAGGAGATGGACCAGCGGCCCCCTGCTCTGCGCACCACCCGGGAGAGGGCAAGAGTCCCAGCGTGTGGGTCATTTTGCAGCGTCCTGGGTCTTCCTTCCTTCCCCGCTCCCCGGGGAGGCGGGCCGGCGTCCCCAGGCACAGCACGGCTCAGCTGCATGCAGAGCATCTTGCCCGACCTGAGATCCCTCTGTGGCCCGGGAGAGGATTTCTCAGAACAGAGAGGCGTTTACCCAAGCGGGCAAAAGCCTTACAAGAACTGGTGGCTGAAAGCCACAACTAGGCAAATCTAGCCAAGAAGTTTGGCCCATATTTTGACAGTCAGTCAAGGGCTGATACGTAACAGTTGGGTGTATTGTGGGTGAATCTCCAGTCCCTTCAACATGCAAATTGATACTGCATTTTTTTTAAGACGATGGATAGTTGAAAGATGCGTCGTACAGGTTTCTTGCTCAAAGAGTGGAAGAAGTATTCAGCAAGGCATAAATCTCTTTTTTGGCCAGTGTAAAACAGCAGGTGAGCCTAGGTGATCACAAGTCCCTTTTTTCCTCACAATTTATTAATTTCTATGGAAGAAATTCCTATCTGTCTGTAAAGACCATGTAAAGGGCATGTAATTAGTGGTTTCTTGTCAGAAATATTTTCAATGAAAGAGAGTCCTAAAATGGCTAATGATTTTGGCTCCCATACTGCTTCCAAAAAGCTATAGAAAACAGCGGAACATGCAAAATTCATCAAGTCTTAAAAATGAAGGAAAATAATTCCTTTTTGTATTTTTTAACAAATAATCCACATTTTTCATCGTCAGCTACAACTTATGAAAAATACATAGCTACTCAAAAACTCTTTCACTTGCACATTATTCCAAAGGCCTGACGTAGGTTAGTTTTAAAGTTATAGATGTGCAGTGATTTGATTTATAAATGCTGTTAAGGCAACTCGTAACTGTTTCTGTTATAGCATTCATTGTATAATATTTTTTTCTTCAAATTAACTTGTAGTAAAATGCATTTTCCCACAAACATAGTGCAATGTAATTAATTTTGCATGAGTTGCTTTTAAGGCAAAAAGTGTTACACTATATAGTTTTTACAGAATAAACCACCTTTGGGGAAAACAGCTAAGAAAGCTTTTTCCCATCAAAAGCCTCAGAGCTCAGTAGTTTTGTGCTGTATGGTTTTGCAAGTTAAGCTATAAGCAGAGGTGCAAACTGTGGTTTTGGCTGCTCTACAGTGGCCCTCCTTTCCAGAAAACTTCTTAAGGCCTACAGAAGAGAGCTTGCTTCCTAAGGTGTGCAGGACAGAGCCTCTTTTCTTGGTGTGCTGCCAAGATGATGGAAGCTACTTTCCTACTGTTCCTTAAACCCTCCCAGTGACCCTCCCACTGAAATCCCTTTGGAAACCCCAGTTACTGGTAGTCAAATGTTTGTGGTTAGCGTTACATACTGTAGGAACATTTAACTATATGTTTGTGAGTGTAGACGTGCCGTGCAATGCCTACAGCGAAAGTCAAGTGAACACTGCTATTCTTCTTAAATTAAAGGACCCTTTTGTAGGGCCTGTCCTTTTGTAACTCATTTTTGTCGCACCCAGCATAACACAAACCTATGCATCAATCCAGTCACATATACAATCCGG